AGCTTTTATAATTGTAACGGTGGCCAATTTACCATTTCAACTTTGTTGATATATTGAAATTATTTCGTTACCCCCACCGATGCAGCCCCAAACAGTTTATTTAGAAACTATCAGCCTTTATTCATTTAAAAATAATTATATTCTGATTCAGTTATCATAAGTAAAGGCTTTCCAACCAAGCTCTGAATGTTGTAATGAGTATGAATGCCTGTGACCATAGATTCCCTGCGACACTCCACCTAAGCAGTGTTTTCATGTGATTTCAAAGTGGCTATGTTGATAAACCAAAACAAAACCAGGTCCACGTGGGGGAACCAAAGCGATAAGACCCCAGCCATGATGGTTTACCAAACCAGTCTTCTGGAATCTGAACTCTTTCCTTGCATAAATACATGAAAGTATTCTTACTATATCAAAATGTACATCCTACCCAATGGGAATGTCTAAACTCTTGATCAAGAATAAGGGATCCATGTTTAAGACTAGAGGTAATGTATTTCATATACACAAAGTCTTCAAGTAACAGAAATATTTGATTTGATTTCTATAGAGATCAAAGTGCACTCTTTGCTTATTCAAGCCCCTATTTATATCCAGTTAACCACCATTATATTTTATATAAAATTTTCAACCTTGTTCTTCATCCCTCTTTTGAACCTCTGGTCCTTTTGCTACCTTGCTGCTTTTGGATGCAGACAGCACATCCCTGCAGAGTCCCAGCCAATGTGTTAGGTTTTGAGCTGCAAGTGTCTGTAGCATGCTGTTCAATGTGTCATGAATATCAGATCTCATGCGCGAGTCTGTTTCTGTGTCCAACATACCAAACAGTGCACCTGAGAGAAAGGGGATAAAAGATAAATGTGGTAGCAAGTAATCCATGCAAGATATATGACAACACATATACCTAGAGTAAGGCTAAATAACATTCTGGTTAGCGTGAAAAAAGTCAACCCTCTTCTAGATAGATCCCTTTAGAACAAACACCACGTGTCCATTTGTAGCAAAGTGGCTACTGCAGATGATTAAAACATTTAATCTTTGATGGGACAAATGAATTTTAAGAACACAATTTTAGAAACACTGTCACCTTCCAAGCCCTTGTCTCCTATGATGACAGCGTAACTTGACTGTTGTTGCTTATGAAGTTCTTCTCCTGCAGCTGATGCATGTTCACAAACTTCTTTTGCTTCTCGTTGGGATAGCTGACGTAAACAGGCTACTGTGGCTCTCCGCAACAATAAGTGAGGACTTGACAGGTTGGCACAGAGTTTACGTACCACAAGCCCGAAGTTGATATGACTTGGGGCGAACACATGAAGCTGTTGAAGGCAGTTAATTGCTTCTGCCTGTACTAAGGAATCTGAATGATTTTGCATGATGGCGCAGGACACTGTGCATGACAAGCGCAGATCTCTTATGGACTTTGAAGTACCTAAAATCAAGTGTTTGTAACTTGTACTTAATGAAAATAATTTCAATGGATCTTGTCTATTAATAAGAGAGAAAGAGCCTTAAAGAAGTACGAGTGGCACAGTGGCTCTAATCCTTTCTTCAGCTGTTTTTTCTTCCCTGTTCTTCACTTTCCCACACTTGCTAAAAACCAACACTACAAATTCTAAACACCAAATTAAATATACCTAACAGATGTCCACTGCGACATCTAAATTATATGACATACTTTAATAATAGGATTTAATTATTAGAAAGAAAGAAAGAAAGAAAGTCTTAAGCACTCCAAACAACA